TCATTTGTTTTGGAGAAATCTATTATTTCTAATATGTCCTCCTCCGCCAATGATTTTTCAAATATACTTGCGAAGTTCCGTTTTTTCTCTAATATTAGCAACCCTATCGTCTAACTATAACTACAAATATCTCTACATTTCAAACTTTTTGAGAACTACCTGTGGAAACCCACTTCCATGGGCGAGTGCTGCAAAAGCGAGGAACTCTACGTTTATTCAACACTTCTTGAGAGTCCTATCACAATCTTACAAGATTCTAAAGGAAATTATCGACCTTACCCAAATAGCCATCTTGTCCAAACCCCCTCTTTACGAGACTCCTTCGAAAATAAAATAAAAGAACCCTCTCCATATATCGCCCAAGAAGAACTTTATCAAGGAACCCTTAAATTTGAGAATTTCTCACTTTATAATGAAAATCATCAAAAAGACAATATATATATATATATATATATACATAATACAGTGACCGCCAAAAAGTTGCGGACAAGCCTCCCTCCCAATTTCATCGCTCTATTTCAGAAGGAAAACAAGGATAAAAAATGTAGTAATTGCATGAGGTGATAGAGCTCTTCAAGATCTACAATATACGCTTTGCGTTTTTCGAAAAACATGTATTCTAAACATTTTAAAAAACTTTTTCTTAAAAAAATCCGAAAATGGCCGCGTCACAATGTCGCGGACAATAATTCTTCGAACGCAAAAATTTTCTTTTGCGTCCTATTTTGAAGTGGAAACACAAGTAATCCAAATGGGTAAGCATACTACTACACAGATCTCGTCAAGAACTACACACTGGTTATGGTTGCTTCCCACAAAACACAAGCTTGAATTTTATTTTGCCTCTTTTCAAAAAACAAATTCTAATTCCCTGCTTCAAGCCAAATTTTTTCGCATGGAAAACCATGCAAAACATTCAAACAAGGCTATTCGGATAAAATGGATGCCCTTTGCCATCTTCTATGCATCGGACGTGTGCTGGTAAGTTTCTTTGCTGAAAATGGCTTCTGACAGTGTGTGTACATGACCCCACCTGCTCCCACCACTGACTTGTACCGCTTTGCAGGCTTGTAACTCGGCTTGTAGTCAATGTATTAGCCTGCAATTAGGCTCATTCGAAAAAACGAGACATCCTCTACACGATGGTGTGCAAAAGAGATGGGTATAAGAAACAGCGGAGATTTGGCGGATGGGGTGGAAAAACGCGGCCTCAGTGGTGGTTGGGGTGAAGGCTCTTATCAACAACAAAACAGTTCTAGAGCTACAAAATGGATCTATTACAAGAACTCCGACAGTTTTAAGCTTCCAGGATTGAACTGGTAGCGAAAGAAGCTCTATTCAACTTTAGCTGGGTATCCTCACCCTACCACTGAGGCCGCGTTTTTCTACCCCATCCGCCAATTCTCCGCTGTTTCCTATACCCATCTCATTTGCACACCATCGTGTAGAGGAAGTCTCATTCTTTCGAATGAGCCTAATTGCAGGCTAATACATTGACTACAAGCCGAGTTACAAGCCTGCAAAGCGGTACAAGTCAGTGGTGAGGTGCAGGTGGGGTCATGTACACGCACTGTCAGAAGCCATTTTCAGCAAAGAAACTCACCAGCACACGTCCGATGCATAGAAGATGGCAAAGGGCATCCATTTCATCCGAATAGTCTTGTTTGAATGTTTTGCATGGTTTTCCATGTGAAGAAATTTGGCTTGAAGCAGGGAATTAGAAGTTTTTTTTTGAAAAGAAGCAAAATAAAATTCAAGCTTGTGTTTTCTGGGAAGCAACCATAACCAGTGTGTAGTTCTTGACAAGCTCCGTATAGTAGTATGCTTACCCCTCCGGATAACTTGTGTTTCCGCTTCAAAATAGGACTCAAAAGAAAATTTTTGCGTTCGAAGAATTATTGTCCGCGACATTGTGACGCGGCCATTTTCGGATTTTTTTTAGAAAAAGTTTTTCAAAATTTTTAGAATACATGTTTTTCGAAAAACGCAAAGCGTATATTGTAGATCTTGAAGAGCTCTATCATCTCATGCAATTACTACATTTTTTATCCTTGTTTTCCTTCTGAAATAAAGCGATGAAATTGGGAGGGAGGCTTGTCCGCAACTTTTTGGCGGTCACTGTATATATCAGTGGCGTACCCAGGATTTCCGCTCGGAGGGGGGGGGGCGACAAAAAAATTTTTCGGATGAAGGTGGGCGTTAGCCACGCACTCCGAAAAAATTTTTGGGGTGCTTCTGAAAATTTTTGCGGACCCCCAACCCCTAAAATCTGGAAAAAGGTTTCCTATTTGCGTGTGGTGTAATCTTCTTTATTTGGCCAAAACAAGAGTCACCAATCTATATATCGTCTATAATGGGCACAGAATATTGGAGAAGAGGTCATGCGCTACATACCAGCACAATTTGAACCTTATATCGATGCTGGTGGTATAGTTACGGTCCAAAATCGCGCTTATATGCTATCGGCGCATCGTCAATGTTCTTGCGCGCTATTATCACTCGTTCAAACGGACAGAACGGAACAGCTTCAAATCAAATTATCGTTAACTAATCTCAAGGATCTCGCCTACATAGGGGGTATCAAAAAACTACAGCTTTGCTTCATGTATGAGGTGTTTCAGAAGCCAAACTGGAGGGACAGTACTTTTTCCGCACCCTATATATATACTAGCTGGCTTACCCGGCTCCGCCGTATCCGGACCAAACTTGGCACACATACACTTCGGGCCCCGGCGGGTGTCACAGTCCACTTTTCGTTATCGATCGATGTCGATTTTACCGATTTTTATCGATTTTTTTTTTGCAGAGTTCACCTACAGGGCTAGGAGTTGGCACAGGGGGGGGGGGGGGGGAAGTGAGCATGGGGATTCCGAATACAATATTAGTTTTCAAAATTATCGATTACTTTTATTGATTTTACCGATTTTTTGTAAATTTTGACATGCGAGGCTGGGATTTTGCACAGGGGGGGTAATCGAGCATGCTGATTACGAACACAATATTAGTTTTCAGGATCGTCCATTACTTTTATCGATTTTATCGATTTTTTGAAAATTTGAGCTAGGGGGCTGGAATTTGGCACAGAGGTGTAATCGAGCATGCTGATCACCCCCCTTGGGGATGATCAGCATGCTCGATTACCCCCCTGTGCCAACTCCCAGCCCCCTAGCTCAAACTTTGCAAAAAAATCGATAAAATCGATAAAAGTAACCGATAATCCCGAAAACCAATATTGTATTCGGAATCCCCATGCTCGATTACCCCTCTGTGCCAACTCCCAGCCCCGTAGGTGAACTCAGCAAAAAAATCGATAAAAATCGATAAAATCGATATCGATCGATGACGAAAAGTAGCCTATGACACCCGCCGGGGCCCGAAGTGTATGTGTGCCAAGTTTGGTCCGGATCGGTTCAGAAATGGAATTTTCTATTCGGAACATACGTACAGACAGACAGACATACATACAGACAGACATACATACAAACAGACATTCAGCTTTATATATAAGATATGATGTATGCATAACGATATGGCACCAAATTTTGTAAGCAAACGGAGAGAGGCTAGTGGAAACAAAGTATGAAAAACTATGAAAAACTTATGTGAACGGAACGAGTAATAAGCTTTTTTTCCGAAAATTTTGCAAAATTGGTAAATGAAGATGTGAATTCAAATGGCTCGTTTGCAACGCGCAGATGACGATAGGTATGAAACTTGCTATGTACGTGGAAACAAGCCTGTAGGAGTTAAATTAGGAGTTTCATTGAAAAATTATGTGACAGGTCGTGGCAAACTTTTTTCTGAAAATTTCCCGCTACCAAAAAATGAAGAAATGGCTCGCGTGCAACGCAGAGGCGACATTGCGCGGGATTTGGTGTGCATATGCGCAGTAGGACTAAGTAACAAAGTATGAAAGATCATGGAAAACATTAATAAAACATGAATATTATGTAAATGAAGAGCGTGCTTAACTTATTTCCAAATTAGCTTGCCATTTGACAAGCTAATGACAAGCTGAGCTTGTTAAAACTCTCAAGTCACATAATTTTTTTCAAAATTTTTACATGAATCTACTCTACACCTGAACATTAGTATATATTGAAATTTTGGTTTCAAACCTCCTTGTCTCCTCACTGCTAGAGCCAAAAATAGCTCCAGCAGCCCCGTTTCCTAAGGAGGAAAGCGTGCACCAATCGAACGGCGTATCGTTATGTCCTTTGACGTCGGCGTCTATGTTTCGTCACTTACTTATTGCTGCTTTTTACGCTATTTCCACCTTTTTACCTTCCTTCTTTGCTCTCATTGTTATTCATCAGCATGTTGATGTTGCACACAATGTTGATTTTTGATTTTTTTATGACTAGTGCTAAAATATGTAAAAGTTATATTCCTGAACTTCTATTGGTCATGGTTTCAATTGCCAAAGTGAACAGAATTATTCTAATTTGTAACATCATGCATTTCTTTTAGTAGTGTCAGCCTACGGTGTGCTTTTTGAACTAATTTTTTAGGCAAAGAAACAGATGTTGAGTATTTTGCCGCTCTTACGACAGCATTAGGTAGGCCAACGATTTTTAACGTTTAGTGTATGTGTATTAAGCCTGTTTCCTTTTTCTTTAGGTAAAGTGCAGCGCCTTGCAATGCCTTTATCGGTGCTTACAACTTCAACCATTTGACGCGTTTGAGACAAATGTTCTACTCGTAAAAGCTCTGAGTCAGCTATTTCCGTCGAACGAAGATGTCACAGTATGTGCATACTGGATGCAGGCATTAGCAGAAGCACATGTATGTCTTACCGCTAAGGATCCTCATAGGTAAAATTTCCGCTATGATTATCGTGCTTTTTGTTTTTCATATTCTTTTTCATTTTTCAAGTGCAATAGTTCTATTTTTGCGTATGTTTCTGTTTTGCTAAGGCTTCGGCCATAGGTTCGCGGTGTTCGCCGTGTTCGCGGTGCTCGCCGTGTTCGCGGTGTTGTCGGTGCTCTCTCTAATACGACATGCGCTCATTTAAGCGGCGCATAGACTATGCGGGAATCACACGGATCGCAGGAATAGCAGGAATCATCTGGAATAGTGTGGCCGATCCCGACAACACCGACAACACCGCGAACACGGCGAACACCGCGAACTTATGGCCGACGCCTAACAATGTATTTTGCAGTTCACTGTGTCGAGTGATGTCCATTCAACCATTCGTGAGTCCGGAAATCTTCCGTTACCAGCTTCACAGGGAGTTACGTGAACTCAAAGCTGACGATAAGGTATTTTGAAGTTCCCTTCTCATGATATTTAGGTTGTGAATATCGATTTTTTAGCAAATCGCTGCCGAGGTGTTGAACCGCTAAATGCGCTTGGTCTGCAACAAGCTTGCCGCGCTAGAGGTATGCGTGCCATCGGTTTGAGTGAAGAGCGGTTGAGAGAACAGGTCAGTTGCTCGAAGGTCTTCCTAGATATAAATGGTTTTTTTGTTGGGTCAGTGGCTGGAACTATCGCTTAGGCTGCGTTCATACTGATTCCCATGTTCTGGAACTGTTCCCGCACAGTTCTCGCACTGTGCTGAAACTGTGCGGGAACTGTGCGGGAACAGTTCCAGAACTGTGCTACATGCGCTGCAGCCGCCCCGCACCGTTTTGAACGGCGGGAGTTGGAGAATTTTGACCGTTCTCAACGGTTTTTCTTCCAGATTTTGCTCATTTTGGCCTTAATCCTCCACCCCGCTTCCCTTTTTGATCAGCAGCACTGCGAACTCGAAGCGGGGTTGAAGAATGAGCGCTTTTCTGCGCCGTGTATTCGGAAAGATGGGCTATCGTACGATTGTTCATTCTGTCTTCTTGTTTTTTGCTCAAAACTACTTCATTTGTTCCAGGAAGCGGCTGCCCAGTTTCCATAGCCATCTGCCACAAATTAGGGAGTAGGAGAAATCCTGAAATTGCATGAGTTGGGACTTGTCTCTTGTTTTTCATGATTTTGGGCGTTCTTAGCCTTGTTCGTTTTTCCATGTCGTTGCTTCTCCGTTCTTTCTTCTACCCCGCTTCTCCTAGTGATGAGAAAAGCTGTGAATTTGAAGCGGGGTTGAGGATTGAACGCTGTTCTGCTCCATGTATCCGGGAATATGGGCCTTCGTGCGCTCGTCCATTCTCTCATTGCTATTTTTGTTCAGACCTACTTCATGTGTTCTAGAGACTTGTCTATTTCAATTTTAATACGATGCGAGACTACGCGGCGACTTGTTAGTACACATGAATAGGTCTGAACAAAAATACGATGAGAGAATGGACGAGCGCACGAAGGCCCATATTCCCGGATACATGGAGCAGAACAGCGTTCAATCCTCAACCCCGCTTCAAATTCACAGCTTTTCTCATCACTAGGAGAAGCGGAGTAGAAGAAAGAACGGAGAAGCAACGACATGGAAAAACGAACAAGGCTAAGAACGCCCAAAATCAAAAACAAGAGACAAGTCCCAACTCATGCAATTTCAGGATTTCTCCTACTCCCTAATTTGTGGCAGATGGCTATGGAAACTGGGCAGCCGCTTCCTGGAACAAATGAAGTAGTTTTGAGCAAAAAACAAGAAGACAGAATGAACAATCGTACGATAGCCCATCTTTCCGAATACACGGCGCAGAAAAGCGCTCATTCTTCAACCCCGCTTCGAGTTCGCAGTGCTGCTGATCAAAAAGGGAAGCGGGGTGGAGGATTAAGGCCAAAATGAGCGAAATCTGGAAAATTAAACCGTTGAGAACGGTCAAAATTCTCCAACTCCCGACGTTCGAAACGGTGCGGGGCGGCTGCAGCGCATGCAGCACAGTTCTGGAACTGTTCCCGCACAGTTCCCGCACAGTTCCCGCACAGTTTCAGCACAGTGCGAGAACTGTGCGGGAACAGTTCCAGAACATGGGAATCAGTATGAACGCAGCCTTAATGACAAGATACCCCCATCTCTTCTACTTTTATCGAGAGCGATACTTGCCAGAAGTAATCTCATTTACTGACAGATTGAAGGCACTTCTTCAGAGTTTGACCGATGGTGAGCTTAATAAGATCGGTAAAAATATAAATTTCAATCTATTGAGGCATTGCTGAAAGCCCGCGTCAGAAATTAACAGAGCTCGAAGGTGGAAAAGTAGAGCACAAAGCTAGGCTTGATTTGATAAAGAAGGATAAGGAGGCAACACATAACTTTTTTGTATTTCTTGCGGAAGAAAGGATATTTTTTGACTTTTTAGAGATTATCCACTTTACATTTTTCAGAAAGTTGTGCTGGCCGAAGGAGAGAAAGAACGTGTTGCCGTAGAAGAGATAGCATCGACGTCTACGGACATTGCTAAAACGTCAGCAGAAGCGATTCAAGCGGCGAAGGTCAGTGATATTAAGCGATGCTTTGTAGTTGGCTGTTTTACATCTTTCCCGTCCATGCTTGTGCTCTATAGGGAACTAGTAGACGTGGTGCAAGAAGCTGTTGATGCTGCGAAAGCCACGGAAAAAGAGAAAGCTGTGGCTGAATCCCCCTCCCCCCTCCCCCCAGCTGCCGGTCCAATTGTCATTGATATCACTCCAGAGATCTCTGATCTGATCTCATTTGTTTTTCCTTTGTCATGAATGCATTTTTTGCTTTTTTCATCAATAAATCTTGATCCTTGGGTAAAGTGTTCATTGCGCAATTACTGGGACCAATTTTTGGGTCAAAGGGAAATTCGTAAAAAAGTTGGGTCAAAGGGGAATTCGTTTTTGAGAACCCCTTTTGACAACCTCGTGCCGGGCCCTGGTGTGAATGTGGTCTATCTTCCATGAATCCGAGTGGGATCCTACGTGCAGGATTCCCCATTATTCTTGTTGCTGAACGAATTACGAAACTTTTCCTTTACAAGAGCGACTTTCTACGGGCAAACGCCTACCCTGAGATGTGGTGTGAAAACCGCAGATTCCTATTTAAAAGCAGGGCGCGAGTCTAGCTAGTTGGCTTTTAGCTAGGCATCCGCTGAGGCTGTAAAAATCAAACTCCTTTGAAGCTTGAGAGACCTTGTCATGATACGTGTACATTTCAGTTTGACACCCACTGTAATCCCCCACGTCACACTTCGGTGAATTTGGGGGGGGGGGATATGTCAATAAGCACAGAGCACAATGACAATAGCAATAATACGAACTTGCATGAAACCAAAATAATGAGTATACGAAAGTACAGAAGGAATGTAAACATTAAGTGCGAATGACTGGAATGGCTGCAACAGAGTACAAAACTCACTCAGTTGACTGCTGGGTTTACTTCTGATTGAGACGCAATGTGGCCTTTGATACGCAACGATAATCAAGAACTGACAATAAAAAAATAAGTGAGTCTGCGTTGTGTTCTGACCGGATTAGCTGCTAACAGGGAAGTGGAAGGCAAAGTTGTGGTCGATTTTAATTACCCCCATTCACGACAATACAATAGTTGACTTCTGCACAGATTTGAAGTAGAACGCACGTCCAACAGTGCCAAATGCGGTAAACTTCTTTTAACACGAATAATCTAAAGAGAAAGGTACTCACTCTTGCATACTTGACATCTTGCAACAAATACCTGAACACAGACTTTTTAGATACATAGAAAGATTGTACAGGAAAAAACAATAAATTGAAAGTAAGCTTATTGCAAAAATTAACCTCGTGGAACACGTACATAGGAAAGCGAAGGTGGAAGGATAGTGGGCCATAAGCAAGGTCGAGTAAAAGATGTGGCACACAACCGCCGGATACCCCTTCCCCCTAAATTCTGTCTTAATCCTCCCTCTCCCAACATTAACGTTTGCCTACCGACATGACATACGGGCTCTACCACACATAGTTGGTAGCATACTTGTAATTTTCACGTTGAATAACCACTATGGGCGAAATTCTAGCGAGATCTAAAGATTTCCAATATTGGGTATTTTTAAACATGGTTAACAGTGAAAAGTGAATTTTTCAAGAGTGAATTAGCTATCTCTTTTTGTACTCAATACCAAGCACTATTCACTATTCGTTCATGCCATGAATCTTGCTTCAAATACCCACCAAACTAAGGGATTATAAACCAGCTAAAATCTCGTTTGTTCCATTTCATGCCTACAGTGATTGTGTTTCCAGCAATCATTGCAAGTGCATGTCCTCTGATTCAACAAGATTGGCGGCTGAAGGGCGGGGCTGCTTAAGCTCTTCACCTCTTTCGTAATGGCCTTTCTAATTACTTACTCATCACAAGCATGGGAAAGGCGGAACTTCGATCACTAAAGAGCATGTCGCGAAGGTGCAGAGCCAGGCGAGGCGGCTGCGAGGATGTGAGCCCCACCTACCAGCCGTCAATCCTGTTGAATCAGACGGTGTAGACTATTTATTAAAGTTCTCTTTGATATGTTAATGGCGTGTGGTACAACTCCAGAAAAGCTGTGGCTGCTACCCCTTTTTAAAGTTGTGCCACACCTCATTGACTTGCCTTCAATGCATTCATTCATTATGTTTTATATTGTTGCTCCTGCTGCTAGACCTTCCTCTCTTCACAATAAGGATTTCATTGGTATTCGTTTCTTTAGAAAAAGATATACCTAATTGTTCTTTTTTACCGCGAAAAGGAGATACTGCAAAAATATTGGGTTTAACGTGCTAAGTCTGTGCCACTATGTGAATCGCGGAAGAAAGCGGCAAGGATAAGTATACTCGATAGCCTAAGCCTCCAGCCGCCAAAAGAAGTAGTTTACTCATTTTTAAAACGAAGCTAACATGTTCGAGAATGACCATCTCGTTTGGATAGCCCAATATTTGGAAGCCTCAGAATTCGCTGAAACTTGGCCCACAGGGATTATTTGACATGCTAATTACGAAAATATGCTCTTATGCGTTTTGGTTCTTTTATGCTTACTGTACTTATACGATTATAGACCAAAACACTAAAGTATAATATAACTCGTAATAATAATATAGCTTATATTATATAGCGCGCTAAGCGTCTCTCTGTTTGTGTAAATCTCTGTATGTCAAAACATTCCTAGAGCGAGTTGCAGCCAACATCTCGAGCTGCATTTGCACAGTGTACGCTGGCAGCGTCTAGGCTCATCTGCATAGTGGCGGATGGATCCGATGAATCGGTCCTTTGAAAACGGGAAAGGAGCAGGTCCACTCGGCTTTTCAGACGCAAAACTGCGTCGCCGATTCGACTTTTTGCAAGGTCGCGTATTTGTCTGATATATAAGTTTGCGATACATGATTTTTATTCCAAAAAATGCTCTGAAGATCTGTTTTTCCGCTAAAGCAGCCATAAAAAATGATTGTGTAACTAGTCGTTTAGTCAAGGTTTTATCCGATAAATTGAAAAGATTCTTGCACAGAGATGTACATGGGGTTTATTAACCTTATGGGAACAATGATGTGAAATAAATCAAGTATCATTTATACTCGATTTGTTCTTTTGCAAAAAATGTTTTTCTCCCACAATCAACGATCTCACATGGAAAATTTGTAAGAATGAGTAGTTGTTTACAACTTATCTGTGATGTTTAGCATTTTGCGTGAGTTATTATTATGCAATCACAAGGAAGGTACACGGATAGTAGAGCCATTGCGAAGCTCTGCGAAACAAACGTGACGCAGTGATTTTGCATAATAGGCCTATCTGCCATTGTTATCGGATTATCATGTCTAACGCTAACATCACTATCACCTCGATAACGATCTCTCCCCCCCCCCTTCCTTGACCCCTGATTGCAACCCTTAGGTGTGGCATGCCACACACCATGCATGACCCTGTTTCTCATTGTCCAGCCCACTGTCGTTTTATAAAAGTCTCTGTGCCGTTTTTGCCGTTATTATATCTCATCAATTCGGTCCTCAACTATCGCGCTACGAATTCGAAGCTCATGCCCACACAGCTTAGCCTTCCGCTGAACTCAGCCCTCATGATCTCTTTTTTGTTACTTAGTAAAGCCCAAATGCAAAAGCTTTTTCGATGAGAAACGCGTTTGAAAACGGTCTCGCTGTAGCTGTAATTCTAGGTTTTTTATCAATCGTACATAATCTTCAATTTATCAGTGATGAGGCTCTCATCAGCGATTATCAAGCTATAAAACAAATTTCTAGTAATTTTTGGTCAGTGTTTTTTTACGAAGCACCACCATGAGTTCTTCATCTGGATTGCCATTCAAATACTGGAAAAAAGTATGCTATTGTGTTTCTACTCACTGAGCCTTGCCTTTTGCAACCATAATTCAACTTTTTGTGCTACAGCGAAACTCAAATTCGAATGAAAACCCGGGCTTTTCCCGAAAGGTTGCATTTTCAGCCTCTTCTTCAGCGTACAAAAGGGCAACTGAGTGAACAGCTATGGTCGAACCTGGGTTACCGTCAAGCAACGTGACCGAATTGCAAGCAGTATTGTTGTTTGTTTGGCAAAATGTTGCGTGAAACTTCACTCACCCAAATGCCAGATTGTTCATGAGGCACCGAAAAGGGAAGCGGAAATCACTGTACCCTTTTTCTATGTGAGGTGTATAAATATTATAGAATACACGTTTCGGAACACTCATATCAAATTATGTTGCTATTTGCAGTTCTTTTATGGAGGAAGTTTTGGACGTTCTTCCTTGAAAAAATTACGCTGTTGCGGAGGGCTCGAATGTTCAGTGCAAAATTTTCTAGCTCTTATGTCTATTGAAGTCGTATAAATTGCTGATGTTGCTGCGTAGCACAAAGCATACGTTGGCCTCGGACCCTACGTAAAATTATCTAGTCTTAAGACCTCTTCAAAATTGACCTCGGACCTTATAGAAATTATTTAGTCTGAAAGTCTGAAAACCTGTTCCAAAATTGCAGTGCACTTCACTTCTTGACTACGCTTACATTTTTGTTTCTTTTGCACTAAATTCTAAGTTGCCCTGAAATTAATGTCACGTCCTGTGCTATCATCAAAATCGAGCAGGGGGGACAAAAAAGTGGGTGGCACCATTTGATAGAACAAAGCAAGCTCTACAAGAACAATTTTTTACACTTGCACCAGATTTGATTCACCTCAAATGTGAAGGAGAATTTACGCTCTGAACGCTGAATTATCGAAAGGAATCGTATTCCACTAAAAAATTTCTAAGACCCCCAACTTGCGCAGCATACATGCTCTACAACAGGCACCCGTAGACACTACCGCACCGCTCTAATTCTTCCATGTCTCATAATCGATAAACCAAATTTTAGCACTCTTCTGCCAAAACAATCTTGAGCTTTTCCTGAACAGTCAATTTAGTACAAAAAAGTCAATTCACCAACTGTACAAGTAAATGTCTGATGTAGAGAGCACATGAGTGAGCAAGCTATTTTAAGGACGAAGATTCGATATACATATTTTGGCTTCACATACTGCGTAGATCAATGTTTGTACAGACGTTTGTTGGCCATCTTTTGAAGAGTGCTTTGCTATAGCTTGCCATTTCTGTGTCCTCTGCTCTACGTTGTACAGCAGCTATAGCCTAATCGAGCGAACGGCAGCATTGTATGTTGTCGAAAAGCTACTTCATGGCCAATATTAGGTTTTCCGAAAAACGATGTAGCATCACGTCCTACAGGGAAGATTTGCCAAAAAAAACAGTGAAGCTGATACGATTTGCTCCATCAAACGTGATGCTACAATATTTTCCGAACTCTCTGATAATTGCCACGAGATAACCTTTGGCAAGTGCAATGCTGCCGTTCACTCGCTTAGGATATAAATGCTGCACAACGAAAAGACAGATAAGGCATAGCCATGACATTCAGATGTCTGCTGATCCTGATTGTGAGTTACGCTTTTTGGAATGTATCTGAAAGTTGTCTTTTAGGTTCTGCCCTCTGCAACTTCTTTCGATGACAAAATTCCATGTGACTTTGGAACATTGGGGGTTCATCCTCTTGAAGCGGAATGGGCGAATGCATTTTTGGGAATGTTTCGTGACATGAAGAACAGCAAAAACATAGTAGGTTTAAATGTGAGCTGTATTTACCCTCACTGCTCTTTTGCATGTAATTGTGATCCAATAATAAGTGCTAGTTTATTGATGAGCTGCAGTAGCTGTCCGGGAAATAGTTTTTAAGTTCCTTCTGTTTTGAACCTGGGCATTCTTCGTAAATATTGTGCTTTTTGTGCCAGGTTGATACAGGTTGATAGGTGGTCCTTTATGAGTCAGTATCAACGGCCTTACTTTCAACGCTTTCGTCTTCGTCAGAGGCCTAGAATGGTTCTGAGCTTCAACAATGAGTCCAGCCCACCAAATGTCTCCCCTAGTTCTGCCAGTTTGGGGCCTTACCTAATCTAGTTGCCACAAAAACTGCGAAAGCATTAACATATCAGGGAACCACCGCTTCATCATCAGATGTCCGTACCGGAAGGAGACGGTCGCGACGGACGAATGAGTTATACTGTATTGCTTGGTAAATGATCTACAGTCATAACTCACATAATGATATAAACGGGAGAAATTCAGCGGTTATTGATAGACATTCGTTTTTGTTATTCATTTCTGGATTCTTTGCAGAAATCCAGAAGGCTTCCATAGCTTTCCTAGCCGAGATCTCCTCTTCAAATTTTAGAATCGTGACTTTAATATCAAAATCTTCATCAGCATGCGCCTCGCGCCTATGTCTGCCAAGCGTTGAAGCCATTTTCTTTCGCCTTTTGTCTGCCAGATGTTCTTTTACGCGAATGCCTAAGCATTCTCTGTTTCCCCAATGTAACGTGCGTTGCAGCTCAAACACTCGAGTTGATACACAACTCCCATCCTTGCGCAATCTCCCAGTCTCCCGTGCGGACAAACAACGCATTGCTCAGATATACAGTAACGATCGTAGAGCCTATTTTGCACCAGCTGTTTTTTGATCTTGTCGTTTGGGATGCTGACTAACATAACATCATCTTGCAGCCGCGCACTAATGATGCATTTTTGAACGGCCGCGCTGATTTTATCAGAGACTAGCTGGCATACCCGGCTCCGCCGTATGTTCCGAATAGAAAATTCCATTTCTCAACCGATCCGAACCAAACTTGGCACACATACACTTCGGGCCCCGGCGGGTGTCACAGTCCACTTTTCGTTATCGATTGATGTCGATTTTATCGAATTTTTGCAAAATTTGAGCTAGGAGGCTGGAGTTTGGCAGGGGGGGGGGGTAATCGAGCATGCTGATCACCCCCACGGGGATGATCAGCATGCTCGATTACCCCCCTGTGCCAAATCCCAGCCCCGTAGCTCAAATTTTGCAAAAAAATTGATAAAATCGATAAAAGTAATGCACGATTTTAAAAACTAATGTTGTATTCGTAATCAGCATGCTCAATTACCCCCCTGTGCCAACTCCTAGCCCCGTAGCTCATATTTTGCAAAAAATCGATAAAATCGATATCGATCGATGACGAAAAGTAGCCTGTGACACGCGCCGGGGCCCGAAGTGTATGTGTGCCAAGTTTGGTCCGGATCGGTTAAGAAATGGAATTTTCTATTCGGAACATACGTACACACATACAGACAGACAGACAGACATACATACAAACAGACATTCAGCTTTACATATAAGATGAATGCAGGCAAAGTGGAAGTCTGTTTTCAGCTCGGCGCTCACCACTTTTTGGATGTTGATTATGTGGTGAGGGATGGTAGCCATTGCTGCAAGCAATTTGAGTAGCCAGCTTTCGTGATTCGCGCCGTTCATCCTTTCCGTTACACGTCTGCATTGCCGTTCTAAACATATTCCTAAGAACAGCACGTTTGACAGATGCAGAGTGTGCGAATTTGACGTTAATGAGGATGTTTTTGGAGCTTTCCTTGCGATACCACTTGGTGCTTACAATGCCATCGGTCAACTTTATTTGTGCATTCAGATAAGGCAGCCATCCATCATGTGGTGTCTCACGTGTGAACCTGATATATCGTGATTGCTGATTCAAAATCTCGTAACACTTGTCCATTTCAAACTGTGTGGATGTCACAACAAGCAATCATCAATGTGACGACAATACAGCAGTGGCATTCGCGCTAGCACCGGCTCTTCGATCTTACTCATAAAGCATATGGCAAGAACTGGTGCTAGTCTTTGGCCCATAGCTAATCCACGTATCTGGGAGTAGTAAGTCCCAGACCATTTGAAGATGTTACAACTCAGACACTCGCTTACTAGGGCCAACGCGTTTGCCTTGCTGAGTCCAAAAATATTTATCGTGCCAGCATACTCATTCAACGTTTCCGATAGCGCTTGCAAAGCTTGGTCGTTCTGCACATTGATGTAAAGAGACGTTACGTTGAACGGCTTTATTACTGCGCTCGAAACAAACTTAGCATTGCGGAGCTGTTCGATGAACGTACGGGAGTTGGTTAAATGTGCTGGTATTTTCCAACAGTTGGCTCACAATTTTGTTTAGATACCACGATATTCGATCAGCGGGACCGCCCACGCAACTAACAATCGGCCTAATCTTATAAGTCTCCGGTGACATTGAATGTAGTTCGCGCAAGGAAAGCTTGTGCGTTTTGAAAAGCCTGTAAAAGACTGGGAAACACGGACTTGTTATTTTCAATCTGCTAACGAATCTGTCAGGATACCCAGCAGATCTTCCTATTGCACTCCACACGTCGTTAAGTCTTTTACATTGGGCTTGATATTCTTTCTCAGAGACTACTCTGTATGTTGTAGCGTCTGCGAAGAACCAAAGGATAAAGGACCCCTATCAACCTGTACGGCATAAAAAGAACACACAATGTCCGGGAAATTTTCATTAAGTGAAGAGGGAGGAATGGGGACAAAATTTTTCGGATGGACGTGCGTGCCTTGAATCACGCCCGCGGCAAATCCATGTCCTCGAGAATATTTTTCCATAAAGCTAATGATTTTTTTTCAAACTTTGGAAAGTATCATGATTAATCAAAAGTAGAAGTAATTTCTTAGTTTTGTAAATAACTCTCAAAAATTTACCATTTCCCAGGAGGAGGCTGCATGAGCTTCCTCCTTCGTCCGTCACTAATGATTTGGAATTATTTCTTCGCTGATGAAGTTTATGTAAACGGTCTGTTCAAGGAATGGAACTGCTTAATAGAGTTTCGTGCTGATTCAACTGCCGACTATGTAACTAGAATGCGAAACGCAGGAGAGAAGAATGGGGATGTTGAGTTATCTGGAGAGGAAGTGTACAACAAGACAGCTCATACCGACACAGTGGAGCTCAGATTATGGTTCAGGTATGTCTGTTCTACTGCGGGATGGTCTCAGAAGTGTTAGGGGCCTCAAAAAATTCATCTTTCAACCTTCCACCTTCCTCTTTTTTGCTTCGCGATGACATAAATCGTTTTTTTCCATAGTTTTTCATCTTATTGCGGTTTCACTTCCAAAAAAGGAGGGTACTTTGAAGAGCTTTTTGGAAAAAATGCAAAATTTAGGTGTTTTTGCAAACGGCCAAGATCTGGGAAAAACGCAAAATTTCTTTCAAATTTAAGCGCTGCTAGAAAGTGCACGAGTTGCCCTCCATAAAACTTGTCAGAAGGCAAATCCGTTGAAGGCCAACATACCGAAGATGATAGCGCGCATCCTAGAAAATTCTAGAAAGTGATTAAATGAATCTATCGCCAGAAGCGAACATTTTCAAACATGATCAATGAAGACCTATGCAAAACTTCATAGAAATCGATAAAATCTACCGCTTACGATTCGAATTGTTCTGTGCAGAGCTATGGGCATTTTTTGGATCACTCTGTACGTATGCAGGTTGATGCAGAATCGACGCGTCTTTCAAAGAACTCCCAGACGATGAACATCCTACATACATTCCATTCAAAAGCAAGTTTTATGCCTTTTATGTTTTTAACAAAAAAAAAAGATTTTTACCCTGTAGATTGAATTTTCAATGTTTTTTGAACAGCTGCTCTCAAAACCAACTTCACAGTGCTGTTTCTCGGTGGGCATTCAAGCGCAAATCATGTATCTCTCTAACATAGCTATTGTGTGGGAATATGATCTATCTTGCCGAATTCTCAGATTGAGAAATCCACCATAATGGATATTTGCTGAGGGCATTCTAGGTGAAACACTTTCTAAAAGAGGCAATTACCAAAGCTTTGCTTGATTATGTATGCCTGATAGCACATTTTGTTAATACTTTTTGCAAAAAAAATTTTTCGGATCAGATGTATTATTTTGCACTAATCGTTGCCATTCCATACTACTTGAGGTACTAATTCAGAAGTGGTCAAAGCCAGCAACCAGCACTCGTCGCATGGTATGCCTTGATGGATTGGGGCAACATTCTTGGAAAGGTAAGATATTGGTAGGATATTCCACATACAAAGAGGAAATATGCCGCATCGAATAATAATTGTTCGTACTGTGATAGGCTTAAATTTGGACGTTTCGTTTGATCAGTGACACTAATTTGACGACACGACCAGCGCAGTGCTTAATGTAGAATTTTGAGATAACTTACAAGGTCAGCATGTTCAATCGAAGTTGGCTTTTTAGATGGGATGCGTACCATACCATGTACGTGGAATATCCTACCAATAATAAAAGGCTAAAACGCTAAATTCAAATTTGCCTTCTTAATTTTGCGGTACAATTATGGAGGAAGGGTTATGAGCCTTTATTGGGGAAAATCAAATGTGCAAGTAGGACAAAAATAGTCATAATAATTTTTAGCGCTTTGATGGAGCAACGATGCTTATCAGGGCACTTTATTCGAGATAAAAGCTGTATCATACTTGGTTGCTAAACTGTAAATTTCTCAAGAAAGAAAAGTGATTGAACTTTTCAATTTTGAGAAATATTAGAGTATATTGTTCTCTTCTAGACAACACCCATGTAAACTCTTGAACCTGCTTGTTTTATACTTGCTGAAATGTAAAATCAGTCACTTCGACAAATTATAAACTTCGAGCAGTATCTGCGCAGTGAAACATGTGAGACCATTCCAAGATAACACTGCTACAATGGGTGAAGGTACAGTCACGAAACCCACGATGGCTTGATGGCTGCAACGCTTAAAGTCAGGAGATATGATCATTAGCATTTTTCGAAACGAAGTGCATGTTATTTACTTTTTTGCAGGTGACCGACGTTATCTGGCTACCATCTGATAGAGCTATTCACTCATATGCAGTTTACCTTGAATTTTATCTGTCCTTGGAAGATATTACCCTAATTTCACGCGTACAAGGCGCGGGGTGGCCCTAGCTTTCATCGAGCTGCTCAGCCGCCCCAACGTGTTTTGAGAAGCGATCCTTATGCCGCACGATTCGTCAGGCAAAACGCAGCACGGTATGGGGTTCCTGCGCTTGCGAAGTCCTTTGCCGTGTTCGGGCTGGTCGATGAAAGCTAGGCCCACCCCGCGCCTTGTACGCGTGAAATTAGGGTATATATTAGGTCATTTCGAAAGTAATGTCGCTTTTTTCGATTAAACGCCACTAATCATGGAATCAACATTTTCAAAAGATCTTAGGAGTATTCGATGCAGCATTTCATCCTCTTTCTAACGGTTTTGCTTTCACTGCAGAATGTTTAATGAGCTCTCGAAAAGTTACCAAAATCTACGACTCATGCTTTTTGTCATGGTCAAGTTCGGCTATTTTTCTAAATTTTTGTACCTAATCTCCGAAAAAGCACAAGTGGCAGGTAGATAGAGCAAACACTATAGAACATAGAATAATTTTTTCTTTTCCTTAGGTTGCTTCTCAGAGTTTTTACAATCAATCTCTCAATGCCATCAAATTCCATATTTAGTCAAGTCAAACCTCACAGAACAATAGCCGGCAAGCGAATCGGGTGTCATTCGATGCAGCTTTTCTCCTCTTTGTAGCGGTTGATTTTTGTTTCCGATTCATCAAGTTTTCCGGGATAAAATCATAATTCAACTTTTCCAAGGGACCCCAAGGCACCCTAAGGTGTAACCGAAATTTTCGAAAGTTGCTAAACCGAAGCGGTGAATGCTCGTTTGGTCTGTAAAATTGTTGTCAAACCATAATCCATCTTTGTAAGTTTCAAAATTTGAAGATTTATTGGTTTTTGGTGCATTTGTATCTGAGACCAGCCTGCTAAAATTCGGTGGTTCCATCAAAAAATCTGTACAATAATTTTAACCAGATCTGAAGAGTAGAAAAAAGTTGTGCTGTTTCCTGCCGAATTTGCTCCATCCATCCATTCCTTGGACTCCTTCTGAGGTTTGTCATAAAATTTTAGAAAAATTGTGAAACTTGGCCATCTCAAAAAGCATAGGTCGCAGATTTTGACTCTTTTCTGGAAGCTCATTGATCGTATTGCAACAACTTCATAACCATTAGAAAGAGAATGAAATGCTGCATTAAATGCTACCAGAATCTCTTACATATCTTTGTTCCACGAGATGTGGCATACGTTAGAAAAAAGCGACATTACTTTCGGAACGACCTAATAAATTGAAACATGGTTTTTGTTTTATTGATCCAGAAAACCGCAAATTTTCAAGTATTTTGCTTTTTTTATCAAGAAATAAAAGGGAATCCTATATGTCCAATATATTGTTTATAGCATGAAGAGCTCTTTTGAATAATATGTTAATTGCTTTACGACTTTACGGTATAGCAGCTCAAGTAAGAGGGATGTTCAGAAAACCCTGTTCGAGTTCCTCATGGCTTCACGCGCAAGGTTGTGGGAGAGGAGCGTTAACGCATCACCAGTGTAAAAGGCGAAGGTCGGTTATGTAAGCGACGTTTGAGTTGCAGCCTACTTGCTTTTGATCGAAACAAAAAATCTCCAAATGTAATAAAGATCCAGCTGTCCCATTTTTTGCGCACATACTTCTCTTGACAGCTCAACAGATAATCAGAATACTATTTGATGCCTATCCATTATTGTGCATGTTAGAACTTTGATGTATAGAACGTGGTCAGAAATTACTCTAAAAATTTGCTTAATTCTTCATTCGCGACAGGATACCGTTAAAAGCTAAGTTGCATACTACTGAGTGCAAAGAAAGTTCCCGGGCACTTGCGAAAAATTTTTTCAAATCGCTGAAACTTCAAGCAGATTGATTCTGTTTGAAGCTACAAATTTCATTGCAAAGACAATTTTGTCCACAACATATATTTGTCTTGCTGGCTTCTCAGCACCTCGCAGCGGTCCACCAGCATACGCAGAAGGGTAAAAGGTCGTCGCAAAAAGTAGCCTATTTGTGCAGGATTATCTCAGGCAGGATGAGAGCTGGAGAGCCCAGATGCTGTAGTTATATAGTGGTCTGCTGAGGCTGTTATGGGAATCATTCATGTTTTTGAAGAACCACTTGCAAAAAAGTTTTTCCCAGAAAGTTTGAGAAATCGACCATTTTTTGCCCTCAAAAATGCAGCATATTTGGAGCAAGTGACTTTGCAGTCTTCTAGTTTTGTACGAAAGGACCAAATCTTTGATTACTGGGAACATTGGTGGGGTAATGCCTTGCACATCTTTTGGACCCATCATCCAGGAGTGGCGATCCCCGCAGAAGCGACGCCAGCTGCGAAAAGAGATGCAGTCGGGTGTAAGTTTGACAGCTTGTAACTTCTATGCCAAATCACAAAACTCGAGTGCAGCTGCGGATCAGAAGTTAACAGGCTTCTCAATCAGATCACGCATGATTTGGACGAAATTCTTTGAACCGCACAAAAAATGGCCGTAGAAAGAAAAATTGAAATTTTTGTGGTTGGAAAGACTTCTCTTCTTGATGTGCAAGTTAAACACGTCTTGGCATCGATGAAAGTCAGAAGGCGTATGGAAAATCTCAGGCTTCACTCTACTGAACACTATTAAAAAACTTGTGTCAAAGTCCGAAGCGCCGAAAAAATGCGTCTGACAATGAAATTTACAAAAGTGCCCGGGAACTTTCTTTACAACCTAATATTTGTAGCAGCGATACACAGCCACCCTGATGAGTTTGATAATTTTGATTATTTCGTTTGTTTTTCAAGATTTACTGTCTTACACTCACATCGTAAGCGCCGCTTATAATATGCCAAGAAAACGCTGCGAATGCCATGCATACTTTATCCTTTATGAAGCTTAGTAAACTGCAGGAATCTCTTAACTATCTTTTTTAATCGTTTTCCAGAAATTAATTTTACTATAACGGCTTATAACATATCGATGTGAAAAAACGTAATTCAGCATAATCTATCAATAACACTTTTAGATTTATTAATTTGCTACATTTTTGATGTATGTTATAGCTTGCGAAACGAAATGTATTCCACTTCTTATCTCTTATATCTTGTGCATTCAGACAATTATTGCGAGCACCTGCGGTCTCTATAACTGCCTCATGGCAGTGCGGGAACCTCGACTTAGATTGTCTCTTCCTCTAAATTTATACAAGGTGTTCCAAAGAAAATCTACACAATTTGATTCGTTGATAACTCGCCTGCTTTGATGTCTCTCGCCAATCAGGTATCATTCTGAGAGCTCGCTTTAACTTAGCTTTACAGCATGGAGCAAAAACTCCATCTCCTTTCGTTACTGTAGGATTACGTCAGAAACTTTGAAGAGGGTTTAAACCATAAGGTCGCGTTCCCCCGGAAAGGAATCAAACAAGTCAAAAACTATTGTGCTAGGCTAATCAAAGTCGCTGATTACAGATATGCAATTTGCACACCATGGTGATGTTTCCTTCATAAGTTATTTCAGAAAAACAGTAACTGCTAACAACTGCTCTTCCAATGTCCTTTGAATATGTGATTACAGCTCTGAAAAGGCTCAGATTTTTCGTAAAAGTTTGCATAATAAAATCAGCATGTTTAAAAACCTTGTTACACAAATTTACAGAGTTTTTTGAAATTTTTTTATTGAAGGTCCTACTTCACGATGCTCTATGTGCAAGTTCATACCGTAATCAAACAGTAGCGAAAAGAGGTCGGAGTTTCGCTTTATACTGTAAATCTAAGTTGAACCTCGCTCTACAGAATAGTACTCAAAGGTCCGTGAGAGCCATCGAAGCTAATGATTTATTAACGATCAAACAGTGTGCACATCTTTTTGGGACACCCTGTATGTGTCTCATCTCGAAAGTCTTAGTGACATCCCTTGTTAGGTTCAGTCTTATTTACCCCTTGCATTCACGTATTAAGTTTTTGATTTCCTTATTGCACTTACACAGTCTGAACCTTTCTCAGGACGTAGCAATAGGAAATGGCTCAATCCACTGGCAGCAGCGCGCTACTCCAGCATCTGCAATCAACGGCAAAGCAAATGGCCCTTGAGATAGACAGAGGAGGACAGCGTAGCAGTGATTCTCAAAGCCTAGCCGTTTTTCCTTGCAGGGGTACTTGGCACCTCTTGAAATCCATTGAGGAATATCACACCTTCTCGGGATCAGTGGGCGCTCCGGCCATCTTCCTCCTTGTGCATTCTTTATAGGGTACACGCACTGTAAGACGTGCTTCGTACTTGAGGACAATAAAACTGAGAATGAGAAACAGAAAAATTTTCTGGCTTTTTATAAGGATTTCCGCAAATGACTGCAGCTGAATTTCCAGCATTTCGAGTTACGTTTTTCCTATGTTTTCGGATAAAATGACACCTAATTATTAAAGCAGTTGGGTTCAAATGACAAACTCATTCGAATATATAATAGCAGACAAATGTATCTTTATATATGTTTAGATATCCTAGCTATTGAAGAAGGTTGCTTATTCGGAAACACTATATGCTTTCAAAACAGATCTTTCTAATATTAAGGTAATCAGGTTTTCAACTACTTCTGGTCATTCAGTTACTCGAACTTCATCAAATTACTTCAGTCAGATGACCAGTAATTTACAATTGATCCTCATGTTTCTAGTTTTCCGAATTTTGAAACCGAGAGACCGAGTTTTCTATCCAAAAATATCTCTTCTAAACAAGGAACGGTCCAGCTTAGAGGAAGTGTACAGGCAAATTTGGGCACATGAGTTTTTCGCCTGAAAGTTTGAGGAGATCCTAACTAAAGCACTGTCCAAGGGGCAGCGCGAATCATTTGCGCTCCGGTTTGGGCAGTGTCTTAGCTAAAACCTCCTCATCAGTTTCTAGGCAAAAAAGCCCATATGTCCAGATTTGCCTGGACACTGCCTTAAGGTGGCGAATTATATTAAACTGCACATCATTAGATGCGTATTGATGAGCTGACTCCAAACCTACCTTCTATATCTGCGATACCTTTTCTGGAAATAGTTATCAGCGTTTGAAGGTTCAAATTTGGCAAACATTCAGCGCCAAATTCTCTAGACCTACCTGTTCAAAAGCACTTATTTGTGACTCTGGTAGATGTGTGCGTCCCTTGAAATCAATACACTCAATATCTTGCTAGTCATGCACTTCCAAGTTGATTTTCACATCATGCATCAAAGCTCCAGTGCAATCACACATCTGAATGCGGTTGAATTTGTGAAGTCATTGGATTTTTAACGCATGATGTGCTTCAAAATCCAACTTGGAAGTCTATGAATAGCAAAATATAGAGTGTACTTTACTTTTTCGAGGGATTCTCACATTTATCGGAGGCAAGGATCATTGCTTTTGAGCGGGTTTTTGAGGATGTGGCTCTTGTTTGCTAAATTTGGACATTTACGCTGGTAACTTCTTCCAGAAAAGGACATCGAAGATATGGAAGGTAAATTTGGAATCAGCTTATCAAGATGCATCTAATGATATACGGGTCATTCAGTTGGCCACCATCTTCGAACCTTTTTACATAGTTCTTTTGCAAATAATTTTCTATGTATACATTTCAGCTTTGGGTCATATGATTCTGTGTGCGCTGTAAACAAGCAATTTGTTCATTTAAGCCTTGCTTTCAAATCGCGCGCACTTTTTGCCATACACGATAGAGCATATCAATCGTTGATAACCTGTCCGAAAAACTTGTATTCGACTAAATGGCGCTTATTCTTGGTGCTGGGCCCCAACCCACAACACCAAAAACAATATCTCCTTTGCTTTTTGCTCGAAAAACGAAGTCCAGCCTGCTTCCAGACGCCGGGCGAATAGTCTCCATAACAGACTCAGTCCCAGCAGACTTTTTTATAGCTAAAGTATTTGAGCTCTCCAGCTTTCATCGTGCCTGAGGTAATCCTGCACAAATAGGCCACTTCTCGCGGCGACCTTTTTCCCTTCTGCGCACGCTGGTGGACCGCAGTGAGGTGTTGGAAAGCCAGCAAGACAAATATATGTTGTGGACAAAATTGTCTTTTTAATGATGTTTGTAGTTTCAAAAAGGAAAAATCTGCTTGAAGTTATAGGAGCAATGAGCGAGGGCTGACTTTTGAAACCCGGAGGTGCTAGAACCCTTTTGGGCGTGAATTCTGGTGCGAACTTGGTGCGAGGAAAGGTGTTAGAAACTCCTGCACGCTCTCCGCTGCGCGGCTTTGCTACAACGCCTGCTCCCGACATTTATCGGACGGCCGGGCCATTCGCGGTATCATTCATACTTTTAACGGGTCATCCAGGCATCGTCGAGCGCTCACCGAGTGCTTATCGGCGCGCCCTCGGGATTAGTGTCGTCGCTTGTGGGCAGTCTGGTTGCCATAACTGCCTAGCACCTCGGCCACTCCGCACAATGAGAAAATAGGACTTTACTGGGGAAATTTCGAGAAAAAAGATGTTTTGTGAGCTTTTATCTCCAGCAAAACGCCGAGCGTTATTGGCACTTTAAGCTTAAAGGCAGCGCCCCAGGAAAACCTCGTTTTCCAATTTTTCACCTCGAAGCCTTCTCGTCGTGAGAAATCCATAATGGCTTTTCAGCGCCTCAAAATGGCTTAGTAAACCTTTATCGAAGCTTCTTATGTCCGCATTCAGTGAAAATACGCCGAAAATCTTCCGCAACTCACCTCCCTTGTGCGGGCCCAACCCACTTACACGTATTTTCACTGAATGCGTACCTGGAAAACTTCGGAAAAAGCACATTTTCGCCATCTTCATGCGCTGAAAGCCCAGATATAAATTTCTCTTAGCGAGAAGGCTCCGAAAAGGTAGAAAAGGGGGAAACTAAAATTGCCGGGACGCTGTGTACTTCCTAATATCACATTCTTGGATCAATTAGTCTGGTTCTGTCTCATTTAGGTTTTGGCTGATAGAAGTAAAGTTGGTTGCGGCAGATCTGATGCTGAAGGTCCTAAACAGGTCGTCATTTGTTTTTTTGAACACTGATCAAAGAACTTGTTGATCATTACAAATCAAAGGTAAAATGCTTTGCTAATAGGATTCAATTCAGTAGTTTGTATAGTAATTATCTGATCGGGACTACCGCATGATATACAAGATATAGTGATACATGATATACATACATAAGTTATATTATCGTCATTCGCTACCTACTCAAATAGGTTATCTTACAAGGGAACCGTGTCGAGTCGAGTGGACTTTCCAGATGAGACCCATACTGCTTTGAAGAGTATTAAGCGGTGATTCCAAATCTGCCTTCCAAATCTGCCAAGCCCCTCTGGATGCCGAGTTATGACCGTTTTTTCAACGAAAAATGCATGCAGAAATTAGGTAAAATCGATTGTTACAATCTTTCCAGCGCTCAGATAAAGCAGTTTTAAGTATTAACATATTAGACAAAATGTATCCATTGCATAAACGGCTTTGATACTTGACCCTGGATCATTAAATTTTGGCGATTTTGTTCCAGTTTTACATTCAACTTTTCGACCTGAGAAAGTTCATGACTAGGCCTTCAGAGGCGCTTGGCAGATTTGGAAAGCAGATTTGGAATCACCGATTAATGCTCTTCAAAGCAGTATGGGTTTCATCTGGAGAGGCCACTTCGACTCGACACGGTTCCCTTGTTAGATATAAAGCTGAGTGTCTGTTTGTCTTTCTGTTTGTATGTAGGCATGTTAATCTGTTGCACGTATGTTACGAATAAAAAATTCCATTCCTAAACCCATCCGGACCAAACTTGGCACACATACACTTCGGGTGGGGTGGGTGTCATAGGCTACTTTTCGTCATCGATTGCAACGACGTTATTGATTTTTATCAATTTCTGTGAAGTTCGACCTGTGATGGGAGTTAGCACAGGGTTTAATGGGCATACCGATTACGAGTACAATATCAATTTTTGAAATTACGATCACTTTTATCGATTACATCGATTTTTTTGCAAAGCTTGAGCTACACGGCTGGGAGTTGGCACAGGGGTTTCGAGCATGTTGATGACGAAATCTCAATGTGAATAGGGAATTAACAGGTAGAAGTGGGCACAAGGAAAGGTTGTACAGGAAGAGGGATGGTAATTTTTACCATAGTTTTTTTTTTGACATGGCCGGGCTGAGCCGGACGCCAGTTAGTACTGTATAATGTTCCGACACGCAGACTTGCAACACATACACATTTCATGGTGTTTGTCCTAAAACGTTGATTTCAAATGTTCTATTCGGTAACTTTGGATGTGGTACCCATGCCCGCTTATTGGTGGTAAACGAGGGAGCCAGAGTCTCCAGAGCATTTATTCTAATTCATATTTGATAGATAGTTGTACAGCATTGCATTGCCCATGCAAGCTGACCCTTATGACCTTCGCAGACTTAGCCTTACCAAGCAAGCTCCAATTGATGTGTTTAACCGCTCGTTCGTGTAGGGTCTACCGATTTTACGACGGTTCTCTCCATTAAAGGATATCCGTCGACGACCGCCCCGTTTCGTGCATTTACACCACCGCAGGCGTGCCTTTTTGAAGCCTTTCCAGCTTGACAGTACGCTGCAGCGCGCGAGGACTTGGTATCTCGCAGCATCCCTGTCCTTTAACCTCTTTTGTTAATTTAAGTATTTCACATCGTTTTTTCTTATTATTTTTCATTTTAGGCAATCAGCCGTTCTAATGTCTATGTGAGATCATCGCCGCGAGCAAAGGAGAGAAAAGAATGACCTTTTTTGTAATTGCAATGGTGGATATCATGGTTATGGTTGGGATTGTATGTTTCCTTCAATGTTTTGTAACGATTTGACATGTTTCCTGGGACAGACCACTGAAATGATTACTTCAGCACTCCTACATCAGGGACACCATGTAGGAGTGCTGAAATATACATCAGAGTGGCCTCATCTAAGAAAAATCCATGAAAGCCACCACTGCTTAGGAACAAAGCATACACTTTCACGTAATTTTGCCCGAGGCGATGGCTTACGATTGTGTAAAAGGAAAGAATGTAAAAGAATGTTTGGCGTGTAAAAAGGAAGAGGAATTCAATAAATGTGCCTAAACAACTTTTTTCCTTACCTT